TTAGGAAGACAGTTTTTGGCAGCTTCCTTCAAAGATAAACATAATCTCACCACACAACCCATCAACAGTGTTCACAGGTATTCACCCAACTGGTTTGAAAACTTATGTCCACATAAAAACCATCACAAAAATATTTAAATCAGCTCTATTTACAATGGCTCATATCTGGCCATACACAAGATGCTTTTTCATAAGTGAATGGGTAGCCAAACTTTTGTGTTTCCATGCAATGCTGTACTATTCAGAGATGAAAATAACTGAACTCTGCAGCAACACAAAGACGTAGATGATGTATATTTAAAAGTGAAAGAAGTCAGCCTGAAAAGAACACATACTGTAGGATTCCATTCATATGACATTTTAGAAAAGGGGAAACTAGAGACAAGGTAAACATATCAAGCATTTCTGGAGCAGTGAGGATTAACAGGTGAAGTATTTCATAGGATTACTTGATGGCAGATACCTGCCTTTGTGCATGTGTCAAAAACCCATAAAATTTTACACCATAAACAGTAGACCATAAAGTATGCAAATAAAAACTAATTTAGGAGGTTGACGTATATAATGGAACATTTTATAGTCATGATAAAGTATGTTTATGAAGAATGTATCATAACATGAAAAATGCTTTTATGTAAGATAATTTGAGCAAGTAGGAATTATATTTTTTCACGAATAGTAATTCTAAATTGATTCAAGATTTTAAAAAATACATATGACCTCTTTATGCCCATAAATATATATTAAATTCTCAGAAATTGTTGTGCATAAATATTTAGATGGCATAACATCCTCTTAAAAAGCATAAGCATCATATCATCGTTTATTTTTGTATTCTCCCAGCTCAATAAAATCTTACCTCGTGAAGCTAAATATTTTTCTATGTTTAGTTCAACTATTGTTCCCAAGCAGTTATGCTGAAAAGATCTGTAGATATATAATGGGTCTGTGATACATACTGAATTATTACAGGAACTGCAGGTGTACATTGAGCAAATGTGGGTGAATGGCCTTGACCCTAAAGGCTGTAAGGGACTTTGTCCAGAACGCAATAGAGTGGCAACACTGCGATTGTTCTTGGAGCTCATGGTACTTGAATTTTAGTCCTGATACAGATGAGGCTTCTTAGCAGAACATTTTGTTCATTAATCTGAAGTGTGTAAAATGAATTCATGGTGGAAATCTCATTAAAGGTCAGTATAGAAAGAAAAACAAACAAACAAACAAACAAACAAAAAACACAGAGAGGCTAAAATTAAAAGGGAGAGAAAACATGTAACATGCAATAGTAACCCAAAGACAGCTGGAGTGACTGTATTATGGTCAGTCAAATATCCTTAAGATGAGAAACACTTTATAATGACAAACGGGTCAATGTATCAGACACAGATAACAGTAATACACATATACACATTCAGTAACACTGTCCCAAAACGCAGAATCTAAAGCTAGCAGATTTGAAAGTGGAACGGACAATCCAAGAGTTACTCTTGAAGGCTTCAATATGTCTCAGTAATTTTTAGAACCAAACAGAAAAATCAGTAAGGATATAGAAGACCTGAATAAAGCAATCAAGCACTTTGACCAAACATTTATTTACAGAACATCCCACCTAACAAGAGCAGAACCCAAACTATGGTCAATTGCACATGGAATGTTATCTAGGAGAGAACATCTGTTAGGCCATAAAACAAGTCTCAGTAAATTTGGAAGCTCCAAAATCAGGAAACAAAGCTTTAGAGTCAACAAGCCAGAAAAAGAAGCAAAACCAAACCCAAAGAATACAGAAAGAAATAATGAAGATCAGAACAGAAATCAATGAACTAGGGAACATAAAAACAGAAAATAAATAAAATAAAAAACTGATTATTTGCAAAAATTGATAGACCTTTAGCCAGACTGAAGGGGTTTAAAAAGGAGTAAACGAAACTACAAAAATCAGGAATTAACATCACTAAACAACCCTACAGAATTAAAAGAATTATAAAACAACACAGTAACATTATATGCTATATAATTAGACAACTTAGCGATGGATAAATTCCCTGCGCCCCCACCCCCATCGTAAAACTGTTCAATTAGTGACCTTCTACATCTGACATTTTAGAATAAGCAGACAGACACAGAGTAACGGAATGAATAAAAAAGCAAGACCCATCTATATGCTGCTTAGAAGAGACTCACTTCAAACCCAAAGGCATACACAGACTATGGAAAAAGATAGTTCATGCAAACAATAGGGAGAGAAAAGCAGGTGTTGCAGTACCTGTATCAGACAAAATAGACTTCAAAACAAAGAAAGTAACAAGAGATAAATAAGGACATTATGTAATGATAAAGGGGTCAGTCCAACAAAAGGATATAACCATTATAAATATGTATGCACCCAACACAGGAGCACCGAAATATGTGAAACAAACACTAACAGAATTAAAGGAGGAAACAGAATGCAATGCACTCATTTTAGGAGGCTTCAACACACCACTCACTCCAAAGGACAGATCCACCAGACAGAAAATAACTAAGGACACAGAGGTACTGAAAAACACACTGGAACAGATGGACCTAACAGACATCTACAGAACTCTACACTCAAAAGCAGCAGGACACACATTTTTCTCAAGTGCACATGGAACATTTTCCAGAATAGACCACATACTAGGCCACAAAAAGAGACTCAGTAAATTCAAAAAGACTGAAATTCTACCAACCAACATCTCAAATCATGAAGGTATAAAACTAGAAATAAATTGTATATAGAAAACAAAAAGGCTCACAAACACATAGAGGCTTAACATCATGCTCCTAAATAATCAATGGATCAGTGACCAAATTAAAACAGAGATCAAGCAATATATGGATACAAATGAAAACAACAGCACAGCACCTCAACTTCTGTGAAGGCAGTTTTAAGAGGAAAGTATATAGCAATCCAGGCATATTTAAAGAAGGAAGAACAATCTGGAATGAATAGTCTAAAGTCACAATTATTGAAACTGGAAAAAGAAGAACAAATGAGGCCCAAAGTCAGCAGAAGGGATATAATAAAGATCAGAGAAGAAATAAACAAAATTGAGAAGAATAAAACAATAGGAAAAAAATCAATGAAACCAAGAGCTGGTTCTTTGAGAAAATAAACAGAACAGATAAAACACCTAACCAGACTTATTAAGAGAAAAAGAGAATCTACACACATAAACAGAATCAGACACAAGAAAGGAAAAATCACAACGGACACCACAGAAATACAAAGAATTATTAGAGAATACTATGAAAGTCTATATGCTAACAAGCTGGAAAACCTAGAAGAAATGGACAATGTTCTAGAAAAATACAACCTTCCAAGACTGATCCAGGAAGAAACAGGAACTAAACAGACCAATTACAAGCAACGAAATTGAATCAGTAATCAAAACACTACTCAAGAATAAAACTTCCGGGCCTGACGGATTCACTGCTGAATTTTATCAGACATTTAGAGAAGACATAATACCCATTATCCTTAAAGTTTTTATTTTCAAAAAA